TCGGAGTCTGTGTGAATGTAGGAAATCTAGATGTTATCATATAAGTAGTGACTCCTGGAAATTCTGCTACACTAACTAGTTCGTTCTAGAGCATGGCCTTGCGGAATTACCGTATTTTTTTACAGCATGTGTTCAAGAAATTTGGGACAGACGTGCACGCAAATGTCCTGCAATGTCCAAGTTACATGTAATCAACAGAGGGTGTTACAGATAGCCAGCGTGTGCCGCGCTTGCCGCTAGTGCGTAAGCTGTACGTGGCCAGCAGCAGTGTCAATTGATGTACGGACCCGATTGTTTCATGTTTGCTGTGTGTGTCGCGAACGGACGTCGTGTGTGGAGCATGAGCCCTACATATAAGTCGATAAAATGATGACTTACGCGTATGTCGTCATTTTCGTAAGTCGGCTCAAACATGCTGGTCTGAAACGTTTAAACTTATGCGAGTTTTACTGTACTGACACTCTCGAGAAACGTCACAGTCTATTTTTATCTTCCAATCACAGGTCGGTGCAATTCCTCTGTGTAGCTGCATATGTAAGCTCAGAAAACCTATTTAAAACTATCTTGAAAAAATCGCCTACTATGCCTACTTTTATCCAGTGGGACTTAATAACGGGGGGGGGGGGGATTGGAAGCAAAGCCACTATTTGCTTTAAAATTTTGCGTAGATATACCAATCTTTTCGATCATATTGTGTTAATGTATTGTGTGAGCTCAAAATGAAGGAAAACTTACTGTATTAAGTTAAACCATCCTGGAGTAAGTAACCACAATATTAAATGATGGATCTCCCCAGTGAAAATTAGTCAGACTACAGAAACGTATAGAATCGACTCAATCGAGTCATAGCCCTGTTCACACCAGTCACTGCTAGGGCTACGTTATCATCTAGGACTGAATTAGCAATGGGTATAAGCCATGTAATGAGGATTGTTAGCCAAAATTGCCAATTTGAATATATGTATACGATGAATTACGGTGATATGCATGTTTTGCAGCTTTCAACAATCCTACTTGGAGATAGTTTACTACCTAATTGGCAAATTAATCAAACTAACGACTGGCTTAGTGCTTATCAAGTAAAAAACAACAACATTTTTGTGCGTAAAACTTTTACGTTTTTATATCACAAAATGTAAAATGAAAGCTCAACATTAAGGACAGAATAGACTATACCAGTAAACAAGTTAAGATCAGATTTTAGTAAACTACCAATTAAGAAATAAATGGTAAAACGCAATGCATTATCATACAAATATATTACAGAAAATGTTAAACTAAAGCTTTAGACTGATTTGACTGCACCAGGAAACAAGCTGAGATCATATTTTAGTAACATGCTTTTATCACAATAGCATAGTGTAATGCATGACTCTTATTGGCAAAATTGAGAGATAAATGGTAAAACACAACACAATTTCAAACTATTTCTAATTTCAAACTCAATTTCCAATATTCGTTGCACATACTATGAGAGACACATTCGCGCCACGATACATCGGACCAAATGCGCCATCCTAGACTGCGCCCAGTTTTCATACGCCATATGCAGCTGCATAAACACTGGCAACAACTTCTAACAAGACCCTATCTGGCGCATCGTATACAGCTGTGAATGTGAATGTCAGTTACATTTCTAGAAATCTAGATACATATAGACCAGAAGTAGATAATAGGGAAGGAGTGTGACTTCAAGTAACGTATACAACGTATAGTAACGTAAGGGAAATTCGTCATTTACTATCCGCTGTCTCGCTGTGCACAGTGTGTTTGCGCCAGTCGCCGCGACTTTTGTCGTTACGGTCGGTCGCTGCAGTGTGTCTTGGCCTTAAAACGTACGACATGATTCTTCATTCTGTTGCCAGAAAACTGAATGTATAACCCGCCTAACTTGAAACAAAAGGCAGCTACTAACGACTCTTGCGCACTCTTGTCCCCTCGGCGATGCGGTGTGGCTCGCTGGGCGATTGGAGCTGGAGCTGCTGCTGATTGTGGTGGACGTGCGTACGTGGGGGCCATACCAACTGTAAATAGGTCAAAGATTAGCGCGCCGAGTGTTGCGTCGATGTCACTAGTCGTCGTCTAGTTTTCACAAGAAGCTTTTATCCATCTGAAGTTGGCCGTATTGTCACACTGAAAGACAATCATTAGATAAGTGCTGGAATAGAAATAAGGCTAATGAGAATAAAGAACAAATATATAATACTAACACACGCAATCAGAAATTGACATTATTGATATTTGTAACTCAGACTACAATACAGCCCTTCGCTACGCCACAGGGATACCGATGGCAGATGGTAGCAGAGAACCCTCTACAATATACGAGGGACACAATGTTGGAGGTTGTGTTCAATTGCTAATTAGGCGATTGTAGTATCATAACTAGTACCGTAATACTAATAGCCCTGGCTGTGCCAGGCTGTGGTGGGCGGGGCACAGTAAACTTTGAAGATTGAAGGGCTGTAGGCAAGAGCTATGATATTATTTGGTAAATATTTAAACTTAAGATAAAATACACCTAACATTTGTGATGTCTGAATTTGGGTAAATTAGTTATCTCTAACATAAGCCTACCTTTGCTTTGGACGTTTTCCTTTCGACAAAGAAACTGCATTTCGTCCTCCGTCCGTGCTTACACTGAGTTACAGTTACTGAGTTGTGTACCTCAACTTATCACTAAAATAACGATTAGGAGCACGCTTCTTCCAGTTTTAAGCGTTCTACTGCTGCGGATGTACACATTAGTGAAACTATTGGTTTCATATTGCTTGATTGCATTCGACAACTCTTCAAACGAGGAGAATTCCTGCTAGTTATATCTTCTCACAACGCATCAGCCATGACAGTCGTATCGCAGTGCATTATGGTTGGCAACTTGGCACTTGTCCGCGGCGCTTTGCATGATGGGATATGATCC